TGTGCATGGGACAGGGGAACAGGAGGGTTTCAGGGCTGGGCAGCTGGTTTGAAAGCTTCGGTGGTTGAGGTGAGGGGTGTGGTTCTTGTTCAGGGGGAGCTTTCCCTCTTTCCCAGGGGACCAGATGTTGAGCGTTGGGAGAATGAATATAAACCCGCTCATCTCCACAAATGCAGGGATTTAAAGGGACCCCACAACTGTCAGAGATCAGTGTAATCGAGACCCATTGTGCTTCAAAACCTGTGACCCTGAAATCACATTCCCTGTCCCTACTGATGACCCAATGGATGGGAAACCCTGGATTTGATGCCGCGTAAATTTCTTCTGTACTGATCCGATCACCCAATGGGAAAGGTACAGCATGGCTTAAAAGTGTAGACTTTCCTTTGTACTGTACAGTGTTAGACGTTGCGTTGACTTTCCTCCATATTAGCCCATCAACCAGCCTCTCATGGCCCTATGCCAGATGGAACAGGAGTCTGATGGACCTCTCTATAGGGGTTTTAGTTCATTCACAGGATGTGGGCATCACTGCCATTTATTGCCCGAGAGATGGCGGTAGCGAACTGCCTTTTTGAGGTTTAGTGCCATTAGGAAGGGAAGTGCAGGATTCTGGCCCAGCAACGCTGAACAAACAGCGTTATACTTTCAGGTCAGGATGGGGAGTAGCTTGGAGGGGAACTTCCAAGTGACGGTTTCCCATGTACCTTTAATGGGGTAGAGGTTACGTTTGGAAGTGAGTTACAGCAGTGCACCTTGTAGATGGATGCTGTTAATGAGTGAAGGTTTGTGGATGTGATGCCAATCAAGCGAGCTTCTTGAGTGTTGTTGGAGCTGCAGTCATCTGGGCAAGTGGGGAGTATTCCATCACACTCCTGACTTGTAGATGATGGACAGATATTAGGGGGCGAGTTACTTGCTGTAGAGTTCCTTCACCTCTAACCTGTGTTTAAATGGCTGGTCCAGTTCAGTTTCTGGTCAGTATTAACCTCTAGGATGTTGACAGCAAGGGATCGAGCAATGGTAATGACATTATGAAGGGGTGACGGCTGGATTCTCTCTTGTTGGAGTGAGTCACTGTCTGGCACTTGTGAAGTGGGAATGTTACTTGCCACTTGTCAGCTCAAGCCTGGACATTGTCCAGATCTTCTTCCATTGGACAGGGACTGCTTTAGCA